CACCGTTTACTGTTAGTTTGTGAAGCTTTTTTTTATCCCATTTTATCTATATCTATTCTCCACTATTCATCCAAGATTTAAGAGTAATATGGACTTCCTTCTATCCATACCCACAATTGTTGACTTTGAATATCTTCTTACTTCTTGGGCAATCCACTGTTTACTATTCATTTGTGAGGCTTTTTTTTTCAGAGGCAATCCACAGTGTATTTGATTAGTGTTAAAAATAAGTGTTTGTATTTGGTTAATATTATTTTTAAATGTATTGTACACTTTTAAAATATACAAGATAAAAATGATTTTGTTTCGCTATGGATTTATCGTAGATTATTGTTAATATTATAAAATAAAAAAACACTCCGCTCAGTGCGAGTGCAATTTTCTTGACTAAGGATCAGATGTTTCACAAGATGACTAAGCACATTGATGTGAGGTATCATTTTGTGTGTGATGTGATTGTTCGTGGTGACATTGTAGTGAGCAAGGTTGATACCAAGGATAATCCTACTGATATGATAACAAAACCACTTCATATTGCTAAGTTTGAATATTGCTTGAATTTAGTGGGTGTTTGTCATTGATTTAGTCCATTGTGACTTATTTGGAAGAGGAAGAGTGGTGTTTATTAATCGAGTTGTGACTTTGAATTCCATGTGTTGGAATTTGGTTCAAAGTGGAGATTTGTTGTGGTTTGACCTAAATTCTAGTGGGTATTGGAGTCTAAGGGCGTGTTCGGTAGAGATTAAAATCGGATTAAAATTAAAAAATTAGCCGTTATTGTTGACTTTTATTAGACGAGTGGAACCCAATAACGGCTATATTTTCAATTTTAATTGAATTTTAATCTTTACCAAACAAGCACTTGTACGAAGTAATATAAATTAATTAATCTTGATTATCTTCATCATTAAACTAAAGAGTCTAGTCCCAAAGGTTCACCCGTGGGCCAATCAGATGTAGCGGTTAAAGGATCAAAAGAATGCAATTATGAAGGAGTATTTTCTAGAATAATACCTTCAACAATAATTCATATAGAAAATCAACGTCAGTTTTGCTTGCTATTTAACTTTTAAATTTGTCATTTCATATTTTCACTTTAAGAGTTATTCCAGTAGATTGAGATTGTATTTGCCTTATCTTGTTCCTTTTGTGACCTGCACCATGAGGAAATAATACAGTTTAAAAAAAATGTTTAGTTCGATTTTGTGCAATTTTTGAAAATCGAAACCTAAACCAAACCATTTTGTTTGAGGGGAAAAAATTGTTGATACACGTGGACCCAAATCAACTAGTTCGATTCGATTTGTGATTCTGCAGTTTTTTGTGCAACCCTAACATTTAGAATCCTACATGTCGCTTCGGTTGGGGCGCTCGATTCTAATTGGCTTCTTACTTTAGTTTGGCTCAATTAGACTAGGTGAATGAATTGACGTGGAGTTTTTAACTGACTTTCACGTGATCTGCTCGTGAAACAAGACGCAAAACGTAACGTTTATGCTCACATAAGCCATCAAAGGAGCTTTATTTCTACTAAGGCTCTAGCACTCGACTCGAATCCAACGTAGATATAAATTCTCTTTTTACTTGGTTAAAAGAAGTTATCTAAGATAAATTTTAGAGAAGTTTAATTGTTTGCTTTTTTTAAAAAAGCTTCTTAAAGAAGTCGCTTTGGATTATGTTGGTTGAATTCTAATTCGACAAAACACTTTTAGAAAATTATCGATACACTTAGAAACATTTTTTAAATCTCAGTAGTAAATTTTAACCTTTTGAAAGTTGGTAACTTTATTGCATACAAAGTTATTGCAAACAAATAATTGACAATTCGAACAAGTTTTGTCCATGAAAAATCATAGCCGCTTTCCAACTTTCCAACATACAAAACTATGGATGGACCCAAGATTTCTGTGTGCTAATAGCAACTAAAATCCAAGTTCATGTACTATAATTTACAATTAATTAACACCAGATTTATTTTCCTTAAATTAGGATAGTTAAGAATCAACTCATGTGATTACCTTAAAGGGTTCAGGAATCAAATATATTTTAGTGCCATTTGGTACACCATGAATGTATTCTAAACCTTACTGAGATTTTTAAATTATTTTATTTCGAACAATTTGAATATGACTTTTTTTTTTTTTTTACCTGAAACGGTGACATTTTTCTCGAAACTACATAGAAGAAATTGGACTGAGGCTCTATCAATCGATTCTATTTAATTTCAATTAAAACTTAACTAGTTTGATTTGGATCATAGAATCGAGAATGCTCCGACTCTGTTATCTTTGGAATCGTTTGCTTTCAGGTCTATAAATTCTACCTCATTCGAACCCAGGGCACATCTCCAAGTGATAAAAGGGGAAGGTGAAAAAACTCCAGCTTTGTTTGAAGCTGCCGCGTCAAATGTTCGAATCCTGAAATATGGATTTGGCATTTGAGTAAATGCAAGTGTACAAGCAGTCTTTCACCTTATACCCTTGGAGGCATAACTTACGATTTACCTCCTTCACCAAAACCCAGAGCAGGGCAGGTGGGGGCCACCAAGGATGCGGTTCATCCTTTTTTTTCCTTTATAAATTCTACCTCATTCAATTCAATATGGTTATTATTAAAATTCATTAAATGGACCACGTTAACCCTTACACATAAGTAAGGAATGAGATTGCATCCGATCATATCAAAAATTAATTGTCGATAATAGGTAATTACGAATTTCACATGTGATTCATTTATCTTTTTACAAAACGTAAAATCACCGATAACATTATTGCCTATACTGGTTTAAATGATCGTTTAAATGATCATGCCATGCAATGATGACTAAATTGAATTCTCGATAAATTAAAAAATGATTAAATTATTTTTTCACTGTCGATTTGGTTCACTCACGTATAGAAGAAAGCAACATTTAATATTAAATGTTGCTTTCTTCCAAGAGATAAGAAACCAAGTCTTACCAAAGCATAATGAGTTTGGCCTAAAAAGAAATGAATTATTATAAAATTAAATTAAAGAAAAGGACATAAAAAAATTTATTTTACTTTTCAAGTTGGTGATGTTAACACCCATTATGTTTGCTTGCCAGTGGCCCCAGGCTTTGGTGCCAGTCAAATTTTTGCCCTTCTCTTTTATCTATTTATATTTGGTCATTTCCTCCTTTTCAAGTTAGTTTATATGAATTTTATTTGGCTATGTTATTCGATTTAGCTATGTACTGGAAGATCTAATATGCTACTAATTCCTCGATATAAATAGAGAAGGTTTATTTTGAGAAACTTCGATAAATAGTTCATAGACTTCTTTCGTGAAACTTTATTTTTAGTAATTAGATTAGTACAAATTAAAGAAGGTTCACAATTTGATTTAATGTTACGTCACATTTTTTTTTTGATAACCGTGGATGTTCGGCCAGCTTGCGCGCATCTCAACTAATTCCATGGGATCCTTAAGTTTACGATCGGGTATTCACTTCATTGGCCCTAAGAGGATTCGAACTGGTGATCATTGTGGAGCAAACCCAGTGTCTGATCAATTGAGCAACCCCTCAAGGTTAATGTTACGTCACAATTTTCTTTCTTGTTAGTATAAAACACAATATCAATTTTAAATAAACTAAAAACCATTTCAAAATATATTTTACAAATTGTCTAAATTCAAGAGGTATGGATTATAATTATTCTTATTAAAATATTCATTGTTATAAAGTTTATATACATTTTTGAGCGGCGCCCACAGAAAATAAGCCATCTTAGAATAATTTAGAGTCCGTTTGATTGCAATGGTGGAAAATGGGTGGAAAGAAAATGTTTTACAGGGAATTGATTTTCTTAAAAAATGTTTTACTAGGAATTGTAATTAATTGTGTTTGATTTGTATAATTTTCCATGGAAAATGTTGAAAATTTGGTGTCTATTTGACTTCGTTTTTATGGAATTTGTCCATTAAAATGATATTTTTTTCTACTATTGAGTCTGAATTTGTTCTCATTGTCAAAAAAAAATTTTGAAAAAAAAAAAATTTACCATA